GGGTATTAACACGTAAGTGAATGTAACGGATTCGACTGGAATTCGAACTCGGCTCTCCGATTCCTCAATCTAAGCCGCTATCCACTATTCCTCCTAAGGAACGTGGTTAATCGAAATAAGTACTGCATATTTTTTGTGAAGGAAATGTATCCAGCAATAAACTAAAATGCTCAAATAATAAATATTTTTTAATGTTTTTTTTTTAAATTCCAATGTCATGCAGCTTGTGATTTTTTTTCTCTAATCTTTCCACCCCAACAAGGCGAGAATGCCACTAAGACGCAAAAGATTACTGAGTGAGAAGACCTTAGTGAGGAGGACAATCAAAGAACAAAAATGCAACACAATTATTTCAAGACAATGGTAATTAACATAAATACTGTGACTGATATTGTTTCAATGTCGACCCATGCAGTTCAAACAAAAATATCTTATTTCCTCATACCCTGAGTTTTTGATCTCATTATAATATAGGGGAAAACTTATGAGTCTGTGTGAATAAAAGGTCGAGTAGGGACAAGGAACAATGATAAAAAAAACTCAAACGTTGCTTACAGCTAGAATAGAGAGGAAGTTGTGCTGAAGCAGCATCGTACCCGTCCCGAAGGGACACGGCACGTAAATGATGATGATTGCAACATGGATCCAAGTGGATATTGTTATATCAGGTCATCCACAAAGGAAATCTACTGGAAGAAAAAAGTAACCCCGAAGATATATTTGTAGGTAATTAATATTTGATTTAAAAACAATTTTTTTAAAAATATTTCCATGTTCATTTGCATCATCATCAAATCCTAATAAGAAAATAACTCAAAATATTAACGCTATTAGACAAGGATCTATACAAACGAAAATGCTTGTAAATTGTTACTCTATATCAGAATTGACATTTTGGCAAACTTGGACCTGTCAAATGACTTTTTTTTCCCTTGGTACAATAATTATTTTAACTACCTTCACTCGTCGGCAATTTTTGTATTAAAAAGCGATAATTAGAATTTGTAAGAAAACCTAAACATATGTTTAAATTGAATGCATACGTTTTTTGTTGTTTTTGGTTTTTTTTGTTGTTTTTGGGTTTTTTTGTTGTTGTTGTTGTTATCGAGAATTTACAACAAAAATATTAAACACTGTTTATTTGTTAGATTGTTTATTAGGTTGGTGCAAAAATAATGATGTAATAATGTCGTTTTTTGACCTTAAAAATACGTCAAAAAACGACATTATTACGTCATTATTTTTGCACCAACCTAATATTTACAAGAATAATTTTAGATTTACAACACTGTAAAACCTAATACAATTAAAACTAATGCAATGCAATATTTATCATTTACAAATTTATTAAGAAATAAACATGAAAACATTTTTTTTATTCATAAATTTATAAACATTTACTATATCTATATAATAAATGCGAATGACTATGTGTCACACCTTTTCAACTTTAATCCTAGAGGCCATAACACAACATATCATACCATTTTGGAATCAGGCCGACTCTTTGAGCAAATTAAAAAACATTCCGGACTAAGTCCGGACCTGAAATTTTAGGTTCCCAAGTTTTCATTACTGTGATTGTTTTTCGGATTCTGCCATATTGGCTTTTATTGATAAAAAAAAATTAAAGGGATACAACTCTCTAACTTTAAATAGCTCATGTTCAAATTAAAAAATTACTGTTCTCAAATTACAGTGTTTTATAATAAAACTGTCCGTGTTTACTCCGAGGGGCCCCAACATATACCATTTTGAAGCGAAGGTAGTTAGAATAATAACGGTATCGATGGAAAAGCAATTCTTTTGACATTCCGTTTTTTTTATGGGCATGAAGATCCTAGTTTGCCGATATTTTTAAGCTTGTATATTGAAGAAAACGTTTTTTGTGTTTTTGTTTTTTTTATTTTATTTTAAACTTTAACAATTTGCGCGCAAAAAGGTTCTTGCGTCAGATATTGCAATATCGACATGAATATGAAGGCAATATCACCTGTTTAAAAAATTTAATTAAAAATTTCGTTCTGGAACAAAAAAAAACCCAACATCCTCTACCATGCCTTCCATGAAATAGGACTCAAGTTAAACCTTCCCAAAACAGAAACAAGGATCTGGAATTGGAATGGAATCAGGAATGGCACCTATTCTAAATCTATTATAAAATTTCAGGACATTGGACGAAAAGATACAAAACCAAATATTGCTGACAGACAATACCAGTCTTCACCACTAAAAGTAAAAAGAGCAATAGAAGATTCTACCCCATCCATTAACACCTCCCTTCTCTCCATCAATAATTTCCCATTTCTTTCCTTTTTCTTTTTACAACAAACTTATCTACTCTCACCTCCTGACCAAGAGCTGGTCTCTAATAATAGAAAAGTACAATAAGTAAAAAAAAATAAAAGATAAAAATACATTGGACAAAAAAATATGTAAAAATACATCTTTCTGCCAAGTATCCTAAGAAATAAAATTCACCATAAACTTTTCCAAAACAGGAACAATGATCTGGAATTGGAATGAAATCAGTGATGGCACCTATTCTAAATCTATTATAAAAATTCAGGAGACTGAACTAAAAGACATAAAACTAAATGTTGCTGACAGACAATACCAGCCAAACAGTTTTCACCTCTAAAAGTAAAAAGACAAATAGAAAATTCTACCCCATCCATTAACACCTCCCTTCTATCCATCAATAATTTCCCATTTCTTTCCTTTTTTTTCTTTTTACAACAAGCATATCTACTCTCACTTTCAAAATAAAAGATAAAAATACATTGAAAAAAAAATATGTAAAAATACATCTTCGTGCCAAGTATCCTAAGAAATAGAATTCACTGTAAACCTTTCCAAAAAAGGAACAATGATTTAGAATTGGAATGAAAGCAATGATTGGACCTAATTTCAATATGTCATAATTTTTTTTTTTCTTAAAAAATGAAAAACAAAATTGTAATAAAATAGCAGTAGATCCCCCCCAAATTTTCTGATGACACTGAGGTCTGAAAATTTTGTAGCTTCAAGATTATTACAACCAACCCAGTTCAACCAATCTCTCCTACCCTTACCTGGCATTGTTGATCACAATATTGGAAAGGTTGTTGACAGACAATACCAGCCGAACAGTCTTCACCTCTAAAACTCAAAAGAGCAATAGAAGATTCTACTCCATTCATTACACCTCCCTTCTCTCCATCAATAATTTCCTATTTTTTTTCCTTTTTCTTTTTACAACAAACATATCTACTCTAACCCGTGTTCTAATCTCACTATGGTCGATTTGTCAGTAGGTGACTTCTGGGTGCTATCAGTCTGGAAGAGGCGATCCCAGCATGCGGTGTCTTTGGAAAGTGCCGGAAAAACCATACCACGGTTGGTCCAGACCGTGTAAGCGAAATTGGGTAGAGGGAACCCTTGAGGGCCATTGTTGGTTGTGCTGGCCTTGTTCAGACTGTTGATCACGCTAGATAACGCGCTCTTTCCCAGAAACTGTAACTAAGGTCTGCTCAGCAGAGTTGCAGTATAAACCACAGGTGGGCTCTGTGGGTGTTGAACAAACATAACTGTGCCGGAGCAGGCGTCTGCAATGGGGATTAACTAGCCACCCTAGTAGACGAGTATCTTCGGATGTCGGTGTTTCTGCTATTTACCTGGAGCTCATTAAATTCCCAAAAGAATCAGTTATATTATCGGTCCTGATCTGGCAGTTCGCTGTTCTTTACACCGCCTAGATTTTTTAATCTAGGCGATGATCTCTCACCAATTTACAGTCGACCTGGCTAGGTGTAACAGTAAGTTCTATGCTAACAGTTTCTTCTTTCTTGTGGACCTCCCTTCCGACCCCATGCTTTCAAATTAACTTTGATGTTCGAAAACTTAAATGCAATGCCAATCGCTATCTACTGTCCTCTCGATTACTCTTTTGGTTCTTGTTCATTAACAATGTTTCTGCTTTCTAATTCTTCCACACCAAATAGCCCCTTGCGTCTTAGTGGCTTTACTACTTTGAATGATTTTAGTGATATATACCTTACTATTTAATCCATATTTGAGAAGAGATGATGTCTATTCATACTTTTCCGAAGGGTATTTTCTCGTAAGTGAATATACCGGACCCGACTGGAATTGGAACTCGGCTCTACAATTAACAATTATCCATTACACCACCCGCACACAGAAGTTTACAGCATCTGGTATTTCCAAACGGTCACCCATCTAGGTATTGTCGAGGCTCGACGTTGCTTAACGCTTTGAGCTCTGCGATCCTGAACTATTTTAACCCTTCTGCCTGAGCTCCTTAGACAAAATTCGCAAATAATGTAATGTTTCACGGTAGATATAAAAATAGTTACAAATGTTTACCCACCTTTCAACCGGCAGCTGGGCATTACATCATTTTTGTCTACCTCTGTTCAACCGGTCGCTGGGCATTACGTCATTTTTCTCTACCTCTGTTCAACCGGTGGCTGGGCATTACGTCATTTTTCTCTACCTCTGTTCAACCGGTGGCTGGGCATTACGTCATTTTTCTCTACCTCTGTTCAACCGGTGGCTGGGCATTACGTCATTTTTCTCTACCACTGTTCAACCGGTGGCTGGGCATTACGTCACTTTTCCCTACTGCCAGTAAAGCGGTGGTCAGGGCTGAAAGGGTTAACTTCGGAACTTCGTACGGAAACCGGTTTTTCAATGGGAGATAGCCGGAAAGCTTGAAATTATCAAGATGTCACCTCCTCCTTGACAAATCAGGAGATTCGAACCTGGGTCTCATGGTCAGGATGTTACTATTCTAACCATTCGACCAACGTGCCCACTGCAGACACGTTCTATAAATAAATGTATTTGGCGCCACCAATAACCATTTGGCTTCCAAACCACGTCTGTTTTTTTTATTTTTCTAAGTCGAACATGAGAAGAAAGAAAATTATTCCAGCGCTCATCGATGGTCGTTTCCAGCCATGCCTTGTAAAATTTCTACGATTTCCATAGCATTATCAAAGGATGGAGCTGATATAGATAGATAGATAGATAGATAGATAGATAGATAGATAGATAGATAGATTAAAAAAAACCTACAATACCCATATCATTTCATCCACAATGCAAGAAGAAAGGCATACAAAATATACAAACGAAACAAAACTAATAACACAATCCGCAATAGTAAATCACATGAAAACAGATACATAATACTACCAACCAATTCTGTCACGTCCACGATCCAGAATAACCTATCCCATCTAAATAATCTTGAAATAGTCACAAACACCTCCAAAACCATTATAGATATACTAATATCTTCAAACACTAATAGCACTAATATTTCTGAAGCAGGCATTTATAAAATAAATTGCCGAAACTGCTCCGCCCAATATATTGGAGAAACAAGTAGAAGTTTGAAAAAACGCATTTATGAGCACAAAAGAGACCTCACAAAAAACAACTTAGCTAATGCAATAGTCATACATAGAAATAAATACAACCATAATTTTGATTTTAAAATGCTACACTCAAAAAAAAAAAGAAAATAACTCACTCAGAAGGAAAATTCTGGAGCGTGCCGCCATAGAAAATTATCCAAATATTAATTTACGCCCAGGCTTTTTCCCTATTTCACCTTTCTTAACAAAATTAATCCTCTTACAAACAAATATGCACAACAGATTCATAAAATCGAAAGAAAATGGTTGAATACATCAACACAGATATAATGACAATATTCTCCACACGTGACAATCTCTGACGTTATTTTTTCAGTTAAAAAATATGAAAATAGCGTTTCTCTACATTCTAGTTGCTAGGTACATTCTGTTTTTTGTTTTTATTAGTTACTTTGTTCATTTAATTTCATTTTCGTATTTTGCTTTGATAAAGTCCACATTGGACAAAACGCGTCAGCAATTACCAGTTTTCCTATTGTCATTTTTTATTCATAAATATATATATATATATATATATATATATATATATATATATATATATATATTTTATCATATAGACAAAACGATTTTACTCACTACAAAGATGCAACTTCATCTCATTTTTATGTATATTTTTCTTCTCAAACAAATGGAAAAAAGGAAGTGACGTTTCACATACGGCTTGCCTAGAAGCAGGATTGTTCATAACCATTTTCGATTCTCACCCGTCAAAGTGCAGTTGACATGCACTGAAACCAAGTTGCATCTTTGTAGTGAGTAAAATGGTTTTGTCTATATGATAAAATTATAATAAATAAATAATTATCGCTCTACTATCGGTATCGAGCCCTCTTTTGGATTAATGCTGTGAACCTTGGAATTTATATATTACCTTCATTCTCATCGCATCGGATATATATATATATATATATATATATATATATATATATATATATATATATGTGTGTGTGTGTGTGTGTGTGTGTGTGTGTGTGACAGAACCTGTCCAAGGTTCACCTGTGCCCATCGCCCAAATCTATTTTAATATATTTTATTGTTATACGATATTTATATATACACACATTTTTAAGTAAATGCTCTGTTTATAATAAACAGTATTAACAACATTAACCAGTCTGAATGACCGAGAAATTTTCATAGAAAATATGTGTCCTCCGACAGGAATCGAACCTGTATCCTACACGGAACAGTCATAAAGCCTGACATTTAGCTACAGAGGAGCGTCTGGTTAGCAAGGTAGGTTTTACTGCTTTTAAACTACAATTTTCTATGATTTCCCACGGACATTCATATCTGCTCGAAGCTTATCTAACAGACCTGTAAATGTTGTTAATACTGTTTATTATAAAACACAGCATTTACTTAAATATTTTTACCTATAAACACAACATATAAAACAATACATATATTAAAATAATTGTCGGACTTCCAATATATATACATACCTATATATATATATATATATATATATATATATATATATATATATATATATATATATATATATTGAAATAATAAAATTATTAAAAAATTAAAATCTACAGACACACTGGTTTGTATATTAATATTCTTTCGTTATTATTATTATTTCATTTAGATTCCTCGACTAGGAATTGGCCAAAAGTTTCGGACAACATGGCCATCCTCAGGAGAAAAAATGTTCTGTTTGCTGGTAGAAGTGAACTACAGAAATGAATGTCTTGATGGAGAAAATGAACTTTTGTCTGTAGTTTTCATTTGTTTTTTTTTTATGTTTTTTTTAACATGAATTTTGGTCAGACTTTGTTTTGGTCAAACAGTCTCTTTTAAGTTGTTATTTAAGATAAGAGCTGGATGGATTCATGCTGCTCTGAATTCCCTTGGTCATTTTGACAGTTTTATTGGTTCCTGGAAAGGCGATGTGTCTCTGTTAAGTGTGTGTGTGTTATTTGGTTCTTAGGGAGTGAGTGAGTATGATGTGCGTACGTGTGTATATTCGTGTGGGTGGGTGTATAAGTGTGAGGCCTCAACACCTCCGTAAGCATGTCTGTCTTTTGTGGGTGAGAAATGTGGGTAGGTCCTGATTTGTGGGGTTATATATTAATACTATCTATATTGTTAAATTTTGTGGTTAAGCCCGGCTGGATAGTTATATATATATATATATATATATATATATATATATATATATATATATATATATATATATATATATATATATATGAAGAAAAATATATACGGAAAAAACAAACAAAAAACCTATACAATTATGCTGTTTTAATGTTAATATGTCAACGTCGGACGTTTCGGTCTAATAAACCATCTTCAGGACATATTCATAAAATATAATTAACATTATCATTTCAACATGACAGAGACGATGTACATAAGAACAAGACTTATCCAAACAAATAACTGAAAGTTTTATAAGATCACCGCCCCGTTTAAAACATGGTCACGTTGTCGTCACGTGGGCGACGCTGTGAAAACGTATTCCTAAAATTTTGAGTATTTTGAATGAAAAATGAAAAGAATTCTATTTTGAACTAAAATTTATATGTACGCTTGTCGAGCATTAATCTCGCTAGAACAGGGGAAATATTAAAGAAGCCAGGTCTAGTATTCACCGTGCGTGAGATGGATATGCCTGCTTCATAAATCCGCCTAAGATTTTTATTATGAAAATATTTTAAAATCTTCACGGAAAAACGACAGACAAGGTACTACGGTTAAGCTTTTTGTTTAATTTTTCTTGTGTCCGAACAAGAGCTTTCTTTTCTGGACAAAGGGTGTTTAAGAACTATCCAAATGTTTTATATTTCCGAGCGCTTTCGGATATACCTTTAGCCATTATCAAGGATGATTCGATTTTTCAGCTTAATTGAGTGTGTGCATTCTGTGTATGTCTTAGTGTGTGGTAGGGATGTTTTTAATTTCCGAATACGGTTAGCACATTGTGGCTTTGTTCGTAGTTGATATTGTTAAGACTTTTCTTGTTTTGTATTATTAAAGCTTCCATTATTTTTAGACTTTTTTGCAGGTGGATGCAGTTAATATATTTTTGTTTTCTACTCGTATGTTTCTAATGGAGTCTGGTAAATTCGTATGTGTGTTTAAATGGGTTCTAATGGAGCTGTGATCAGATAGGTGTAACGTAAGACGTCTGGATAAGCATGTGGTTGTGTAGC